AAAATTGTCTCGAAAAGCAGGTCACAGGTCAAAGGTCATTTGGGTCAGGATCATGAAATTTTTATGGTAGGTGTAAAATTGATCAACTCGAAGGTACTGCAAATTTTGTCGCGATCGGCCGCTTTTTACGCGATTTATTTGCCAAAAAAAAAAAGAAACATAGGGGGCTGCATCACCCCGCCCCCTGTGTATAGGGTTATAGTTAGCGATGCTCGTGACGTCTATTCGTTCCAGATTACATGTACATTGTACATGCCTATTCACTCACGAGACAATTACTTTTTTACAAATACCGATTAAAACCCAATGCCGTGAGAGGGATGCTACCTGGGCTTATAGATGCAACAGCGAGTTAGAGCTCCTAATTTACAAGCCTCACCGGTCGGACCTTTATTTTTACATTTGCTTCTGGGTGGGCAAATCGACGCCACTGGGTGGGCAATTGTGGTGACTGGGTGGGTATTTGCCCACCCAGTGGGTATGTTAGAGGAGGCCCTGGCCGAAGGTACAGAAAGTTTGGCGTCGATACGTCAAGCGGTTTGGAAGTTATTGCAGAACACGGGAGGGGCTATGAATAGCCCCCCCCCCAATGGGGCGCGGGTGGATATAACGTTACCAGGAAGTATGTAAGCCTTTTTTTGTTGCTTTGCTACGGATATGTATAGTTGATACGGATTAGTATTTGTTATTTTCTACGGATATTGATTTTGGCTTATATGCCTGATTCGTCAAATTATTAGATATTTTTTTTTTACCACGTTCCGCTGGGCTATTCAGTCGAACGCGACCCGCTGGGGGAGCAGATTCTGTCCCCACATCCCGCCGGCGCCTAGCATCCGAACGGATGGTCGAAGAAAGACGGGGAAACGGCAATCGAAAGCTCCCAGCGATATGACTCTTTGGAGCACAAAGTTTTTTTTTTTTGTTAAGAAGGTCTCAGGTCAGGTCAATGGGTTAAAACTGCAACTTTCTTTATCAGGTACTGGCGTTGGAGCCCAGATGGCGAAGAATGGACTGAGGCTGTTACTCAGAACACGTTATTAGGCTACCAAGACAAGATGCCTTGCAAAGAAGGCCATGCAAAGGTTAAGGTCAAGGTCAGGTCATGTCACCGAAGATGAACTATTGGGTATGATGTGTGCGATTCATGTGATAGGCATGGGTCATTTTACACATATTTGGACAAAATTGAAGTCGAGGTCAGGCCAAGCTTAGGTCGAGTGAAGGCAAGCCTTTAAGTTGGATTTTACGACCAAAAGGTTGTTTATATGGTCGAATGGTGCGATTTTTATTAGTTAGGTACTGTTAAAAGTCCAGAATTCCTAAAAATTAATTTGTGTGCAAACTTTGCTCATCGTTACGGAACTAAAATTAAATAATTCCTTCATTTCAACCGATTGTTTTAAAAACTGAAATTTAGTTGCACATGCCGTTCTTCTCTGGCATACGTATAGGTAGGTAGGTTCTGGGTTCTTTTACAAACTCAAAATTTTGGGCTTAGGTAGTAACGATTTTTCTTTAAAGAACGTTGTATTGAAAGTTTATGGTTAAAAAAAAACGAAATGTCTATTTGGAAGACAAGGCTAAGTTGCTTACCATGTTTCTTTGTTAGGTAGGTAGGTTAGGATTCGAGCTGACGATATTAGGGGCGTTTGACCTTTCGTAGTTTTTGAAGCGAAATTGGCGGGATATGACGTCAGTTAAACGTCGTTATCTCAAAAATTTCCGACGGATTTCGTTCAAATCTTCAAGGAATATGTCAAATTAATACATGATAAGGTACTGAAAATTTGGTTAGCTCGATTAAGGCGTTTAAAAGCTATTGGGAAGCACGAGAATGGCCAGATCCCCCCAGCCCCCAGCGAAGCGATTTTGAAATAATTTGTTTATTTGTTTATTTGACCAAAAAACAACCACAGGCTAAGGCCCAGTTACGGCTGCAGTCATAAATTCATGCCATGAAGATATTTGCTGTAGGTAAAGGCACTTTGGTATTTCGTTTGGTGCATTCGTCAGATAACCCGTCGTGAAAAATCCCGCGTAGTGGGAGTGCGAGGTAGTGTGCTGCTTTGCTGCACTTGTCCCATGTCCGGTCAACACAATCGGGCTTGTGGTATAAATTTACATGGACTTCTGTGTTAATTCATGTGTGATTATGATACCTACCTAAAGCATTGAAACGATGCATATGCTCTCACTCTGCTAATCTGCGACTTTCTGGGACCTCCCTGTAAGCTCACATCCAAACCATCTAAACTAAGAGGGCGGTGTCGCCGGCAGGACCGGAGTCCCGCCCTTGGATCGGTCACCGCGCCACTCGTTATTACCACGGACGGGGCAGGGCAGTAGAAGGTTACCGGGTCGAATAGATTCCCGATCAAGGTCGGCCGACGACGCCGGCGGCGGTCGCCGGGCCCAGAACCAGCGGTTCCAGCTGTGTCTGTCATGAGAGGCCGCCTGTCGTAACGGTCGACTGTTCGCAGCGGCTCTCTACATCACCAACCGACGACAGCCCGCACCAGCGATGGATATTAGTTAATAGTGATGTGCAGTAGCTATAAGTGATTATTATTTACATGTCGTTATATAGCTTGGTACCGTTAAGACGTTTAACAAAATACCTACTGAAAGTTTACTAGACGTTAAACAAACTGTACGTACGTAAACGTCCAGTATCGGCATATCACATCAGTAATACGTTACTCGATGACTCACTCATTGCGCGTGGGCTAATTAAATATAAACAATATTTGGATAAACGTCGTAAGGGTTAGATAAACGTTAAACAAACGGGTATGCTGATAAACGGATACACAACTATAAGCGGATGTAAGTGGATATATGATTTAACCTTTGCCGGCCGACGGAGGTGGTGCCTTCCCCCATAGGTTTTTTTTTTCATGATAACTCCGGTGGGGCGATAGGTAGTTATCGGTGGGGCGTAGGCCAAGTTGGTGGCTGCCCCACCAACTTGGTATTTTGCCTCACCAGTGTTATATCATCCATGCCAATACCTAAGCGTTTTGCCCCTCAATTTTTTAACTGATTTCTAAGACTTTGTTGCTTTGCAAATTAATGTTTTTCGCATTGAAGAGCTTTGGAATGTTTATATCTGTTATGATACGAATCGATTCAGTGTGGCATTTTATTCAACTTCATAATCGGACATGTGGGTTTGATGACTTTTTGCCCCACCAACTTCCCTGGAAAAGCTCCACCCATGGGCTCTGCGGCCGTTTTTTGCGAAGTTATTCATAAAAAAACGAACCCTTGCCTTGGGACACTTGGCCTGACCTCAGAGGTCACCGGTTGATCTGAGACCTTAAAATCGGGTGCCAGCCACCTCCCCCTCGGCCGGCGCGTGTGTAGAAAACTTATATGGTCCGGCGAGGGTTAGATATCTCGTCTGGTGTTCCACTTACGGCTTACCTATCAGGTTGTTTCCAATTCCATCGACATATAAAAGGCAATATGTAGCTAGCTCTCTTGCTTCTTTACGTCAGTACTCATGGATGGAGATTTGGTAGACAGCATTACTGATTCCACACTGATATGAAATATCCGGGTGCTTCCCACGACACAGAACATTCGACATCGGTACATTTTTTTACCCGACGGGCCAAATGTGGTGTATTTCATAATTTATATTCGTCGTATACTGTCACCACCACTATACTCTGTTCCGTTTCAAGCTTGCAGCCGAAGTGCCCTGCTGAAAGCAGGGGCCTCTTGCACCAAAATACCTAGCTAGGTAGAATCGGCAAAATACCTACCTAGTAAAACTACCTACGGCGGTAGCTTCTCTTGCACCATCCTACCTACCTACCTAGGTAAATTTGACAGCTCGGGTTTTTTAGGATTTGTTTTGATTGGCTGTTTGGCGACGAATTATTTGTGGGCGCAAACAAATAGTAACTTAAGAAAACAATTAAATGGATATTGTTTTTATTAATATACATTTTGGTATTATGAAATCATTTTTTATTTACGTAAATACCGATAGAAGTTATTTTGATATTAAATTACTTGAACAAATAAGCTTAGTTTCCATGGCAACGAGTGAGTCTTCAACCTGGCTGTTCTGCTACGGAGGTTTATCGCCTTGGTACGGAGAAGCACCTCTGTGAACCCATGGAGCATTTAGTCAATTATATTATTATTCACTCATAAAAATATTGATTTCTCATTGTCTAAACATTTTGTAATGCCTAATTTACATAAAAGTACCCGTGGATTAATATGTATTGTGCCTATTGTTACTAATTGAATCATTTTACCTAAGGTTTTGCTAGTTATTTTGGAAGCCCGCGTTTACCGTCAAATCGTCAAAAATTCCTCCGCGAGTACTTCTTTCCGGCTTTCGGTGCAAGAGGAAAACAGCCGGTCGGATTTTAACAATTGGTAAGTTCTTTGCCACTCGGTAGAATTTCTAGGTAAATTTTCACGGTAGCGTTTTTTGGTAGGTAGTTTGGTGCAAGAGAATCTAGGTAAAAGCTGAAATTACCTAGGTAGGTAGTTTGGTGCAAGAGGCCTCAGTGCGATATTTCTGTATATACCTACAGCTTTTACATAAGACGCAAATTCTTGAGCGGAGGAGCGATCTGCCGAAGAAACTCCGACTGCAAACTTGATATGGAACAGACTATAGAGCTGTAACATAGAATAAGTATATGTATACCGGGCGACTGTCAGGCGTCGCCATGTCCAAAGAATGCTATTATGACTTGCGTGCACCACACGCGGCGGCCCTTTGTACAAAATCGGGACCCAAGTCACAATCATAGGCGGCGGAACGGGGAGGGCACCGGGGCACCGTGCCCCCCTTTGATTTTGGCATTTTAACATTAGCCCTATGGGCGTTGCATGGAAAGAATGAGACCAAAAGTCGGCAGTGCCCCCCCCCTTAATTGAAGGTGTTCCGCCGCTACCTACTGGTCACAATCACATCCCATCCGTGCCCAGCCGCCGGCAGGAGCGGCTGGGCCCCTCCCGCTCTGCCCGCTCCCCCGCCGCACAGCATTCACGAGCGCGCGCGCGCCTGACATAGGTACATTTGCACATTTTGTTTGGAGTGAGCTTTGCAATTGTACAAGTAATACAGGCAACAAGGAATATGCTCAACCAACAAACAAAATAAAGCAGTAAAACACAATCCGCCTTATCACCCATCCATCACACGGCACCGAAGAATGCGTACTGCTCGAGCGGCAGCCTCTGGTAGCCCCTCCTGGTCAGCAGCTCGTCCAGCTGCCGTATCCTACTCCACACCAGCCGGCGCATGCTGACGTCAAACACCTTGTCGTCTGGCACCACCGGGTGCGCACCGTTGTGGAACGCGCCCTCCGCGTGGCGCAGCGTGCAGCGCAGCCGCTCCGCCGACGGCTCCACGCCCAGGAAGTGCAGCATGCGGCGCAGCTGGGCAGCCGGCGCGGCCGCCAGTCGCTCGTAGCTCACCAGCAGGGTGTGCTGCGGCGCCTCGGCCCAGGCGGCCGCCAGCTCGGCCCAGTAGTGGCTCTGGGTGTCCACGAATCGGCGCCACTTGGTGCCGGAGAAGGCGGCCGGAGCGGCGTGGCTCTCCTGCAGGTGCACGCTGCTGCGCGCAGTGAAGTGGCGCAGAGAGATGAGCGCTCGAAACGGGTCTCGGACCAGCAGGATGGCCGGCAGCGGGTAGCCGGTGCTGTTCCCCGCCAGCGCAGCCAGAGGGTCGCTGATGTTGCCGCCAAAGTCCTCGCGGATCCGCTGGGTGAGGTTGGAGGTATCGGTGCCTTCTAACCGGCGCCAGGTGGGCGGGTAAGCGTGCGTCTTGCCGACCAGACAGGTCCGCGTCAGCGGGGACACGTGCTCGGCGATGAACCCGGCGTCTCGGAGCTCGGCCGACGAGGTGACGGCGCGCCGACTGGCGGCTACCTCGGCCACGGACGGCAGCCCCACCACCGGCAGCGGCTCGTTGTCGTCGGCGTCGTGCTTGGGTCCGCAGGTGACCAGGCCGGTGGCGGCCTCCAGCAGGTAGCGCGTCCACGTGTTACCGGAGCGGTGGTACGAGGCGAGACGGGCGTCCGGCAGGCTGCCCGGACGGGCGAACCGCGTCACCAGGTGGGCGCAGCTCGGGTCGCCGGCGAACCAGGCGTGCGAGGGCAGCGCCGGCTCCACCAGCCGCCATGTTGCCACGTGCAGACCGCCCCCGTCCCCACCGCCGCCGGGGCCCGTCGAGTCGTCGGTGGGAGCGGAGACGCGCGTCGGGTCCGGCAGTAGACTCCAGGTGAGTGTCGGTCCGTCACTCACCACCAACAGCAGGCAGAAGGCGCCCACAGAGGCGACGAACAGACTCGGGACAACCAGATGGAACGGCCGCTGGTAGGCAGTCGATGACTTCCAGCGGTGCGTATGGACAGCCTCCATTGCCGAAAATCGGACTCTGAAATAAATATAAGCAGCGCGCTGCCCAATCGCGTTTGAACTTAAAATTTAAATTCATACTTAAAATTACAAATCAAAGACCAGAGGCCTCTTGCACCAAAATACCTAGCTAGGTAGAATCGGCAAAATACCTACCTAGTAAAACTACCTACGGCGGTAATTTCTCTTGCACCATCCTACCTACCTACCTACACTGAAAAAAGTTTTTACCATCAATTTACTAAGTTACTAGCTTTGGTAAATTTTACCATCAGCCTACCATCATATTACTACCAGCCTACTATGGTGCTGAATACTATCCTGCCTTGACATGTTGATATTACCATGGTTACGTTTATCAGGGGTGGTTTTGTACCCCAGTTTACAAGGTGGTAACCACCTGAGGCTAGTAGATACCCTCGTAAGCTAATATTCCCTACCATAGTAAAATCAACCTTTCCACGGGCGGATCCAGCAGGTGAATTCGGCGATCAAGTCTCCTCCTTTCCATAGAGGTGTTTGCCAATTTTTGATATGTTGGAAGGAGCGTCATCCAAGGACTAGCTGAGACCCTGAGCAATTAATAGCTTTATGGACGAAAGGCCAGAAATTTCTTGCAACAGTTCCCTGGGTGTGCTTCTGCTGCTATGGTAAGGTATACCATGGCAACACCATGACAACACTACACCCTTACTAACAATCCACGTGCGTCTGACTCTGCTGCAGCGGCGCCGCCATGTCAGTTCCGGCCGCGCGCCGGCGTTGTGAAGGTGCTCCGTGGTTTTAAATATTTGAACGGTGATTGTGTGGGTGGTTAGCGTAGCTGACGGTGGAGGATACTCGGAAATAACAAGTAAGTCGTTGTATCTTCAGCATAATAATACTTATCTCACGAGTGCCATTTCCAGCAAAGATCGCAGCCTTTGTTTCGGTTCATGTTGTTGAATTTCCTTGAGACCCTGTTGGACCGGGTAGGGGGAGGGTGGTGGGGTGGGTATCATTGCGGGCATTTCCCAGCGTCGGAAATCAACGTGTTTTTTTATTTGTTAACCCACGCCTCACTGGGGTATGTGCTCTAACGCGCCCCACAGCACGTTACAGCACGTTACAGTGGGGGGGGGGGGGGGGCTCCTAACTCCGAAACTACTGGGCCGATTGTCAAAATTCAAACGGCCCCTGGTAGCCCTGGAAATATTGTTGAGCGAAGCCTAATGTCATTGACCTCGAGGTCATCGATGACGTCACAGGTCAGGTCAAAGTAAAAATATCAGCGTCTTGGCACTCTGGGCGCCGGCCAACAAATCAGATCAGGCTCATTTTTTGTTTGCACACTCGTGAATATATGCGTAACATAACCTGAGGGTACCGAACTTGTACTTCGAATTTTTCAGGTCAAGGCCATCTCATCCCAGGTCACGAAAGCTTTATATCGTGCATCGGTGACGTGAGACATGTTTTATGGTTCATGTAGGCCATATATATCGAAATCAGTGTTGTATGTGTCAGTTTAGGCCATTTTAGCTGAATATAGCTGAGGTCAGGTCAGGTCACTTTAGGTCAAAAATGGTCAAATTTTGAAGTTGACATTTTTCAACAAAAAAGGTGTTTGTCAGATGAAGTTCACATATATTCAACGCATATGTGTTCAAACACATATAGACCCCGTTTCCATGGGCATCACTGATCCGGATCAGCAAACTTAAATCGTATTATATTTCTCGAACTCTTCGTTACATGATATAATTCCAAGTGGATTAGGCTTATATAATCAGTTAATCCCTTATTTTCATTTTCATATATTGTCTAACTATACTGGATTAGCTAATCCATTTTTACTGATCCGGATCAGTGATGCCCATGGAAACGTGGTCATATTCTGCTTTTTTTCATTCAGAAACGTATATGTAAAAAAATAAAAAATACAATTTCTGAGTTTTTATATTTATAATTTTCAAAATATTCAACATTTCGAAAGTCCGAAATCAGTTTGGTAGCCCTGTAGAGTCCACCCATGCAAAAAAAAGGATCTAGCTTAACCCTCAAGGCGGTGGGGGGGGGGGGGGGGCATTTTTGCATCCATCTTTAGTTTTTTTCGATATATCTCCAGAACCGCTGCGCCGATCTTCACCAAACTTTCAGTACCCTTTTGCACATTGTGACCAAATTTTTTTTTCCAAAGGCTATGATAAGTTGGCCGCTACGTCGGAGTGACGTCATTTCTGCCATTGTCGACCAAAAAAAAAGCTTCGCGGGAAGAGCTGTCAGGTCTATAAATTTGATTATGCATAAAAATGTTCAAGACATGAAATGTGTAGAATTACCAGGGCTACTATACTGTTCTCTCGATTTTGTTTTTGAAGTTGACCCCAAAAATAAAAAGAAATAGATATAATAGCCAAAAAAATCCCAAAAGTTTTTCGATTTTCGAAACAAACGGAATATATGTAATAGCCACTATGGACTTCTATTCACATTCCAAGTATTAGATCGATAACTCCTTTTTGCCAAGTTATAACAAAAAAAAACTGTTCAAAATTAATGACGTCAAATTTTCAAACTCGATTTTGGCAATTCTAGACCACAAAGCGCAAAACAAAGACCACCATTAGACTCGCCGTGACGAGTGGCATCGAATCAATACCAATTTTATGCGAAACTATCAACTTTGACCTGAAATTTGACCTTTTTGACCTGACATTGACCTGACCTCCACCAGAAAGTGACCAAAAAACCGTCCCTGATGGTCTTATAACCAACACCATTGAGGCGAATATGAAAAATTGGCCATAAAACATGCATCGCACAACCCTACTTAGTAAAGATAGGTTCATGTGCTGACCCTTGGTGATCGGACCTGGTATTATCAGTGACCTCCAATAGCAACATATGCTCGTATAATAGGCAACTCACGCCCTATCGCTGATTTTTGACAAAATGCCCTTTACTCGATGTTGCAGCGCATTCCTTAAAAGACCCGTGAACGGTGAAACATTTTATCTTTGACTTGGCCTGTGATGTCATCGGTGACCCCGAGGTCAATGAAATTGAAGTTCCCTCGACAAATTTAACAAGGCTATCGAACGCCATTTAAATTTTACCGATCCGTCATAGTAGCTTCGGAGATTCGGGGGGGGGGGGTCAAAAATCCCCCCCCCCCTCCCACCGCGCGGAAGGTAGCCGGGAGGCCCACCGCTTGCCGGGTTAAAACTCAGATCTTGAGAGCGATTACCGTTGTTCAATGCTTTGCATCAAAATCGGCCGAACATGATGTCACTCTGGCGTCATTTCCGGCCGATCTATAGTAGCTACGAAAATTTTATTAGTGCACAAGGTGTCAAATAAATTGATGCAGCCGAAGGTCCTAAAAGCTTTGTTTTGATACGTCCAGCGGTTTTAAAGATTTGCGTAAACACGAGAGGGGCTATGAATAGCCCTCCCCACAGTAGGGTGGGGGTTAACCCTCGCCCGTATTGGTGTTTTTCAGCCACGAACGTTTAAGGGGGGGTCCGTTGAACCCCCTCCTTGCCGTTTCGCCCCTGATTGAGCTAGAGCTTCGCGGAAAAAACGAGCGTGCTGCCCGTGACGAGAGAAAGCCGATGGTACCCAATTTTATCCTAGGTCGTCGGTCCTAGGTCATCGGTTGACCTTCCAGGTCAGGTCAATGACCCAAAAGTGGGGAAAACTGGGACCTGTTAGAACGTCGTAAAACGTGGCTGCTATTGGGTTTTTTAGGGAACTGATCACGAATATCATGTTAGCTATGATCATAGATGATGTCTTCATGCATTTAGGCCAGGTCGGGTCAGGTCAGGTCAGGTCAACCAGTAAGGGTTTTGCCGGGTATTCGTAGTAGGTGCACTAGGTGGCAACCGCCTCTGACAGCTTCGTAACATGTTACGAAGGCACCAAAACTACTTCGTAAATGTTCATATATGGTTGTTAAATTCGAAATCAGCTAAAAAAAACTAGCCTAGAAAGATGCTGATAAAACTCGAAAAAGTAAACCGAGGTCATCAAAGGTCAATGAACTGACCTGACCTTCTGGTGACCTTGACATCCACCCTAATGCATGGGAGCAGCATCATATCCCATGTTTGAACGCTTGAAACCACGAAAGGACTGCAAACGCGCGGCAAATGCGAGCCGACATACGCCGAATCGCGATTCCGGCCAAACATGGTCTCGAAAAGTAGGTCACAGGTCAAAGGTCATTAGTCAGGGCCATTACATTTTTTAGGGTAGGTGTAAAATTGATTATAACTCGAGGGTACTGAAAGCTTCGTTGCGGTCGGCCGCTTTTTACGCGAGGTATTCGCGAAAAACCGAGGGGGAGTCCGTTCGACCCCCCCCCCTATACGGGGGAGGGTTAACAAGCCAAAACGTTGCTAATTTTTATTTTGATCTGACCTGTGACGTCAACGGTGATCTCGAGGTCAATAAAATTAGGTTTTGCTCGACAGTTTTTCCAGGGCTATCAGACGCCGTTTCAGTTTTGACAATCGGCCCAGTAGTTTCGGAGTTGGAGCGGGGGGGGGTTCTATAAATAGCCCCCGCCTCCCCCAGTGGAGTGCGTTACAGAACATACCCCAGTGGGGCGCTGGTTAAGAGTAGAATTTTTGAATTATTGCCAACACTCAACACTGCACCTCATGGCAATTAATTCATTATAGGGCATTTTACCTGAACCAGCCTCTGGCCTAATGTCCCAAATTTGCTAAATTCCTCACCCTACAAATCCCCTGTTCTATTAGATGCTGCCATTTTTTTAAAACAACTTATCTTAAATCCTTGTTTCATCAAACTGGGAGCTAGGTCACGGGACACTGCGAGTCAAGGTGGGAGGGGTAGGAGATAGAGTGTCACTGCAGCACACACAATCAATCTTTCCATTGGTTTATCTTATATCAATGCCTGCTCTTTTCCAGAGCTGGCTTTCGAAGTTCGAACCTTCGGTATATGGCTACCAATGCCCTTGGAGAAGGTGTTGCGTGATAAATCGCTGGAAGGGCGACATTCAACGATTGTGTGAAAAGAGACCGATTGCATTGTGATGATAAAGTGAACTGTAATAATTGTTGTTCATGCGCGTTGTTTGGTTATGTGCAGACGTAACTTTGTTTGTGGCCAAATGCTTTTTATGTGTGAAATATTTCATGTAGGTTACTAGGTAGATGCTTTGGAAAAGTGAAGAGCTGCTTTGTCGACTGCTAGGTAGATACTGTCATGCATGCTGTTGTGCATCAGTAAGTGGCTGTCGTAATGATAAACAAATTTGGCATGGATAGGCTAAAGCACAGCATATGAAGCATGCTGGTTGATGACTAGTAAGATCCTGTTAACCGACTGGTAATATCACAATAAATGTCACATAGTAAACTATTGTTTTACGATGGTTGGCCAGCAAAGCAAAGCTGGTATCCAGATGACAAAAGGATGGTTTTACCATGATAAGTCATTAGTAAGCATTACCAGGGAGTAGCTAACGATAGTAAAGTCCTAGTTTCGTGCTAGTATCACGTGGGTTTTTGGGCATGGTATGACGACATATAGTTACCGTGTTAATACCATGGTAATTTTTACTGGCATTGGTATTCACATGGTTTTACATTCATATTAGGCCTAGTATTTGGGTCGTAAGTTAGTTTACCATAGGTAAGAGGCTGTTCAAAATATGACCACCACTCGAAAACTAACTAGGGTGGTATTTTTCTTAGTAGGCGGTACCAGGATAATACTAGCGTTAGTAGAGCTTTGGTTTCTTATTAGTTATGCTTTAGTTTCAAGGTAGTATGATGAAAAAATATTACCGTACTAAGACCATGGTATTTTGATGAGCATTGGTAGTTGCATAGTATTCCTTTGATATTGGGCCTAGTATTTGGATCGTAAACTGGTTTACCATAAGTAAAAGGCTGTTCAAAATATGACCACCACCCAAAAACTAACTAGGGTGGTATTTTTTTCTTTCAGTGTAGGTAAATTTGACAGCTCGCGTTTTTAGGATTTGTTTTGATTGGCTGTTTGGCGACGATTTATTTGTGGGCGCAAACAATAGTAACTAAAGAAAACAATTAAATGGATATTGTTTTATTAATATACATTTTAGTATTATGAAATCATTTTTCATGTACGTAAATACCGATAGAAGTTATTTTGATATTAAATTACTCGAACAAATAAGCTTCGTTTCCATGGCAACGAGTGAGTCTTCAACTTGGCTGTTCTGCTACGGAGTTTATCGCCTTGGTACGGAGAAGCACCTCTGTGAACCCATGGAGCATTTGGTCAATAATATTATTTCACTCATAAAACATTGATTTATCATTGTCTAAACATTTTGTAATGCCTAATTTACATAAAAGTACCCGTGAATTATCATGTATTGTGCCTATTGTTACTAATTGAATCATTTTACCTAAGGTTTTGCTAGTTATTTTGGAAGCCCGCGTTTACCGTCAAACCGTCAAAAATTTCTCCGCGAGTACTTCTTTCCGGCTTTCGGTGCAAGAGGAAACAGCCGGTCGGAGTTTAACAACTGGTAAGTTCCGATGCCGCTCGGTAGAATTCCAGGTAGATTTTCACGGTAGCGTTTTTTTGGTAGGTAGATTGGTGCAAGAGAATTTAGGTAAAATCGGAATTTACCTAGGTAGGTAGTTTGGTGCAAGAGGCCTCTGAGGAACGGATGAGTCTTCCGTTACCATTCTAGTATGATCGGTATAATCGGTACCTATATCGGTGCTAGTCAGTAACGTGCTGAAATTTAAATTAAACTCGACTTGATAGATAAATGAAAACGTACCTTTGTTTTATGATTATTTTAAAAATGTTATGTCTATGGATTATGGACCGAGTGAAGGTTGAAGCAGAGTAGCTAAGATATTGTACTGTTGCTATTTTTTCCAGTTTCTAGACGGATGAACTCGATACCTATATGAGACGGTTTTTTATTATTACATGGACGTATTGATATAAATGGGAAAGGCAATGGGAACTTGTTTTTATATTCAAATTGGAGGTGACTGGGGGGGGGGGGGGGGGCTCTGGGACTCTTTCCACTCTACCACTGATTGATGTGCCGATGAATTTACCTCTCTACCATTCGACCCCGTTCGACCTCGATTGTATTTGGATATAGTTAGGTATACTTTATAGGTATGGTGTTCAAGGGATTATTCCCGAAACACATTTATACCTAACCAATTTTGATATAAAAAAACAGCACGTTCCCATTGCCTTTCCCATTTATATCGAGATGGTTTTTTATAATCACTTCATTAGTTAGGCGTGGCATCGTTCCGACCGTTCTGAATATGTTTTTCTTGTTTCCGACAAAAAGCTAGCAATGCTTGAATGATAACGTAACTTCTATAACATAATTATCGGAAAGGCCAGCAACCGTTCGGGGCGGGCCGATTAGGTACTAGCCACGGTCACTGGCCATACCTGCTTAATAGTACCTAATATTCGTACTTTTGTGAGACAAAATCAAAAGGCGATTGATAGCCGGTCTTACCTGGAACGACGTATAACTTAACCACGCACTATAATTATAATAACGTCGGTACGGCTTACGCAGTGGCGGCCGACCGTCTCCACCACCTGGCTCGATGTTGCTCACACTGCCTCGTGCACTGACCCTACAGTACATCTCAGCCGCTCAGCAGAGGCGGTCTGCAACACCGCGCCGGTCATCGCGTGCACCGTGCATGGTGGAGAGGTGCAAACTTACGGCCAGCGGGCGGTAACCGCTGGTATGAAACTCAGCGCATACCTGCCAGCGAGGTAGGCGGCTGTGTCAGGTGAGGTCAGGGTCTTGTTATTGCCTCAGACCATGTGCAAGAGACCTCTCCTAGTGATGAGCGTACCGTGGCTTCATCGTACATAAACTCGATCTGCCGATGTCATTTGCATCTCGACTCTCGAGTAATAATAGCGATGAGCTGCAGGTGCCTTGGAGCGAAGGTTAACGACCGCAGTCGCTGGCTGTTGTTGGTTGCAGTTCTTACTTTGAAGTTCCTATTAGTTCCTATACCTAAGAGGAGAGAAATAGAGGATAGAGGGGTGAGTATGGGAATGAGACCGTCCGTTACCATACGGGGGACGCGTCCCCCAGTCAGATATTCGGGGAGGGGGAGGGTCACCTAAAAAAAAACACCCATGTCGACCACAACCCTTGGAGGCTCCAATGGTTCATGGTCGACATGCAGGTCGGCCGACCTATACCACTGATTGATGTGCCGATCCACGGATGTTTTTTTTAGGACTAGCTATAAGGCACTTAAACGGCTTAGGTATGAGGTACCTACCGCTTGCTTTCTGTGCACTGCTTCATATGCAGGAAGCATTGATGAATGAGTGATCATGGATGCAAAACCCAGCTGTTGATCCTATGTGCGGCATTTTGAGTATGAGGTATTTTGGGTATCTGCTCATCTATAGCAGCGTCCGAAATCGATGAAACCCTGTCATTTTTTTCTCGCGTAGGAACATAGGCGGCGGAACGGGGAGGGCACCGGGGCACCGTGCCCCCCCCCTTTGATTTTGGCATTTTAACATTAGCCCTATGGGCGTTGCATGGAAAGAATGGGACCAAAAGTACTTTTATTGGACAAAATTTGTGCCTACACGATTGTTTGATAAGTGATAAGTTGATAAGTGCACGCTGCAAATGGCTCAGTAGTCAGTTCTGACTCTGAGGAGTTTTGGAAATGGGAATTTGGAAGTATGCATTCGGCCCCGGCAGCGTCCAAAGCCACCTTTCCTGATTTGCCAATGTCGAAATTTACATTCATAGGCATTTTTTTAGTATGAATAGCTGAAATCCTGAATGACAACAAACGTGGTATGTACAGGTCTCGCGACAGGTTGAGCGAATAATCTTACTTCTCACAGAAACAAAAATTGCAAAGGCCCTCCCTCCCCATCCTCACTCCGAACCTCAGCCTCGCCTCTGGCTGGCAAATGTTTAGCAGAACGGATGGCGTGCTCAGTTGCACCATTATGAATGACCACTCGAGTCAACTGAGGTATGCGCTGGAGTCATTACGTTCACTCGGGCTGCTCGGGTCACTCGGGTCACTCAGGTCACTGCGTTCCCTCAGGTCACTCGGGTCACCGTATCGCCATGGTCTCCGGTCACCGTCGTTCGGGGCTGTGGACCGGTGACCGATGCCGGTCATTACCCCTCCCCTGTGGTCCGAACGACCGCCAGACGGGGCTCTGGGTAAAAACGGGTCCCCATTAGCCGCTGATGAGTGTGGGGACGGTCTGATGATGGGGGGGGTCCCATAGATACGAGTACAGTGGCCGGAACGAACTGCGGACGCACGAACCGGGTGGTGAAGAGGAAGAAAGGGAAGGAAGGGTTGGCACACTGGCACAGGTGTTAGTGAATATGTGATCTAACTTCATCTAGCTACATCGATACAACTACACTGCACTGTCCAGTGTCCAAGCTACAAAATAGCTAAAAAAAGTCTTATTCTTTTGCATGCGATTTGTCTTCCCTATCAACGTACGTACAGGTCTCGCGAGATTAAGCGGTAGGTTTTGCACTTTTACATTTCCGTTGTATCTCAGAAACTAATCGATCTACGATGAAGCCATTTTACACAATCATGGCCGGCTTGTTACCCAACAAGTCGATCGCATTTTCAACACTTAAAAGCTTAAGACGACGAAGATATAGCCTGAAGTAGGGTACCTGGGGCAAGACGCCCCAGATAATTTATTTTGCTACATAAATTTTGTCCCACATCACCTGAAAGGCCAAATTTGTGCTCAATGCGTTCTTTGGACATTTTACTTTAAATTGCACCCCTCAAATTGATTCACTTATGATCGGACTCCAAGCTAGGAAGTGATTTGTGAAGCAACTGCAAATGGGGCATTTTGCCCCAACCCCAGGGCAAAACGCCCCACGGCCTGGGGCAAGTAGCCCCATACCTTAGATTAAAGATTTAACATGGTAGTTGGCTAAATCTTATGTGAGAGGTCCGTTAGACCTCTGGAGGCACGGCACTGAAGTTAGCACATTCCATCCTGTCAGGTGCTCAGCATATGACACTGTTGTATGAGCAGGTTTTTCACCTACCTCATAAGACCAAATAATAAATTATTGCAATGCAAATGTTAATAAAATACTTCCTTTGCCATCCAGTTGCTGAGAAAAATACACATAAAGGCACAGAAACTTACTGTTCGCCAGCTACCGAACATTAGAAAGTGGGTAGCCCCAACAACACAAGAGGTAAAACGCCCCAGGGCTTTTTGCCCCGCGACCTACTGGGGCGTTTTACCCCATCACGTAGTTCGGTCAGAACAACGCCTTGCACTCCAGTAAGACATAATTTAACACGAACCAACCCGGCATGATAAGCGTTAGACAATAGTTGTTCAAAATACATAAAAGTCGTTAACCTAATGTGGACCATAAAAGAACGCCAAGATTCATAATCTGACAACAAAACATAAAATCACTCAAAAAACATTTTTGGCTATATCTCCCGAAGAGTCATCACAATTTCTTTCCAGTCTGCTCATATATGATCATATAGTGCACGTTTTATAGAAGGATGATGTTTCCCCAGAACCCTGCCAGTTCTGAGAAACATCGGTGAGGCGTTTTACCTCGCGGGCGACTTGCCCCGGTCTACCCTACACTAAATTTTCTAGGTGCAAAACCTACCGCTAAAACCCGCGAGACCTGTACCTATGTAGAGTAGAGAACTCAAATGTTTTGTCAAATTTTAATACACCTTTTTGCACTCAAAATAGGCATCTTTTCATTCAATTTCGGCGAATGCGCATTGCAATTTTAGCGATCTCTCTATTCGAAGCAAATGAGAGATCGCTAAAATTGAATGCAATTCGCCGAAATTGAATGAAAAGATGCCTATTTTGAGTGCAAAAAGGTGTAGTTTGGTCGAAATTCTGGATTAAGATTTACGGTGTCAGTTGATGTTCACATGACTGCCTGATTTATGGATTACAAGCTCATCTCGTTAGCAATGTGCTAGCAATGTGAGGGCTAACTTACATCTAATATGGATGTTATAATTTAAGGGCAGCAACCCATTTCGCAATTCAATCCACAATCGTGCTCACGGTTGACGAAAGTGACGCAGTGTTGCTGGCGTGGTGGTGGCCGTCGGCGGCGTATTGTGTGCATGATTGAAGTTTTTAGTGAATTTTGTGTTAAATGTATGAGGCTCTGGTGAAAACATGTATATTTAACATAAGGAACATCACAAGACTTGATTGAAATCAAAAAGTCAGCTTGACATTGTACTGGAAGAACGTGGGACGGTGGATCCGATTCGGTTGTGCTTAGGCCATCGAAAGGTTGTGAACTTGGATTTTTCATATCTAAGCCACTTGCTAAATTTGATATAAAAATTGCACCATTTTCAGAACTCTAGATGTTATTGTATCAGTCACCTACTCAATTTGTGGTTATGAAGTTAAACTGGCCATGTAGTCCCAGTCCCTCGTCAGTGTTGTTCGGCAAGTCAAAATTCTGCAAGTGCTTCAGACTTTCATGTGTTTTATATTGAAGACAAGATGGGCAATAGATAAAGTCCTTTGTTGATGCTTAGGACTGGTTGTTGATTACTCATATTTGTATGAGTAAAAATGTGCCCATAATTTGTTAGCAGTTTGTAGTTTGCTCTCATTTCTTTGCAATAGTTAGCACCTTCAAGAGCAGCCATGGATTAGTCAAGGCATTCAACGCAGAGGTGAGTACAAACTGGTTATTTCATTATTTTGAACCTTTGGTGGCAATGTCAATTGGTGCCAATGGTGTTCATGTGTATGTATGTAGTCATGTTTTTATTTAACGTATCTTAATGACTTATTCACTGTTCTTCACCGGAAGCCTTGTCTGCCACCTACATATCATCACGTTTGCACAAGGAGTTTCAAGAAAATCTTTTGCTTTTATACATTATTGCAGGCTGCATGAGGCTGCAATGTTTCAATCCACTAAGCAGAAAAATAAATGTCTGAGACAAATTGCACACTAAGAAGACATATTATGACACTGCATAACCATTCTAATTCATATTTCCTGATTCAGTGTGTGATGCCTGTTTTGATACCTACCTGTTCAAACTGAAACCTCCTGGTGCTAAGACAACAGTGTTTATTCTGGCTTTAAGTCATCTGTTCTAGAGTCCTCATATGTGAGCAGCCCTCAATGGCCTTTTTCTTATCCCTCATCTCACCTCAATTTCAGCACAACTTATCTCAATTCATCAATTGGAGCTTTACTTTTCATTTTTGGAATATAAATGAATGAATTAGTTTGCTAGTGGCACATATTGTACCCTTGTAATCTTCAACCTGATTTGCTGGTCAGACATTGTCAAATTAATTGAAGAACCATTTGACCCGATGATTTATTTATTATTTATTTATTTATTATATATTATTCAGATAAATCACCAACAAGCTCATGGCCCACTAACAGGCGAAGTCATATCACAACTAAAATACACACACAAGGTGAACACTAACATGACACACTCACTCATTTGCAATAGATGACACTTAAAATACAGAGATCCATAAAAGAGCCATAAAATAAACGATATAATATAAAGAACACAGAAATAAAACAAAAGTAAAAGGAAAAAAGCAATAAAAA